TCACGCTTTGTTACCCTTCCGCTCACAGCCCTCCTCCTTCCACTCTCTGTTTTCTCCCCCTTGCCGTCTCCATTATCGTCCCCATTCATTCACTCACTCGTCCCGTCTCCACCACCCTCTCCCCTCTGCCTACCCGCTCCCTTTTCCTACTCCCCTCCTCCCTGCCTCCTCCGCCCCCCCTCCCCCCACCCATTCCCCCCTCCCCATCCCCTCCCCACCTTCCAGGCGAGGAGGAGCAGAACATAGAGGTGCAGCTGCGCACGTGGGGCGCGCAGAAGGAGAAGAACGCCGTTATCCTCGTGGTGAACGCGTGCGCGAGCCGCGACGTGAACGAGAACGTGGTGGGCGTGTGCTTCGTGGGGCAGGACGTGACGGGGCAGAAGGTGGTGATGGACAAGTTCACCAAGATCCAGGGCGACTACTCCACCATCGTGCGCTCCCACAACTCGCTCATCCCGCCCATCTTCGGCTCCGATGGTCAGTCCCTCCCGCGCTAGCACAGGCTGCGGGCGTTTGGGGTGTGAGTTTGTGGGGCGTTTCGGCTCCGTTGGGGTGCGTCGGGCTGCGTTTGGAGTGGTTTCGGGTGGATTCACGGACGTGTGAAAGGAGGAGGGAAGGGCGACGGGAACGTGTTGGGTGTGTGCCTCGCGGGGCAGTTATCTCACCCCACTATCTCTGCTCATTCCTCCCTTCAACCCTCAACACGCATACACCAGAGTTTGGCTATTGCACGGAGTGGAACCCCGCAATGGAGAAGCTGGCGGGGATGAAGCGCGAGGAGGTGATGAGAGGCGTGTCCGTCTCCCTCTGCTTCCTGTCTCACCCCACTAGCTCTGCTCCTCCCATGCCACAACCCTCTCTCCCCTCCTCCCCGCCCAAACACCAGAGTTTGGGTACTGCACGGAGTGGAACCCCGCGATGGAGAAGCTGGCGGGGCTGAAGCGCGAGGAGGTGATGGGCAAGATGCTCACCGGGGACGTCTTTGGCGCGCTGTGCCGGCTCAAGAGTAGCGACGCCATGACCAAGCTCATGATCATCCTCAACAACGCCATGGACGGCAACGACACGGAGCGCTTCCCCTTCTCCTTCCTGGACCGCCAGGTATGTGTTGGGGATGCGAGTTGGTTGGTTGGCACTTGGAGACGGGTCAGATGCTCACAGGCTGGTGGCTTAGCTCTGGGTTAGGGGCGCCCTGGTTGGCTGTGCCGCCTCAAGATCAGCGACGCCATGATCATCCTCAACAACGCCATGGACGGGAACGATACGGAGAGGTTCCCCTTCTCATTCCTCGACCGCCAGGTGTGTTATGAGGTGGCACTTGGTGATGGGTCAGATGCTCACAGGCTGGTGGCGTTGTGGTGGAGGAGCTGTGTCTGGCGCCGTGGCTGGGTGTGCCGCCTGAAGAGCAACGTCGGGATGACCAAGCTCATGATCACTCTCAACAACGCCACGCCTTCCTGCTTCCTGCTCTGCGCGTATCTTGCATGGATTCACCTCTCTGTGTCTGTCCTCTTCCTCCTCCACCGTACCCTCCTTCCCCTCGTCAACTCGTCCCACTGCAGGGCAAGCTGGTGGAGGTGCTGCTGACGGCCCAGAAGCGCACGGACGCGGAGGGCGCCATCACGGGCGTGTTCTGCTTCCTCCACACCGCTTCCCCAGAACTCCAGCAAGCCCTCACGGTGCAGAAGGCCGCAGAAAAAGTCGCGGAGGCGAAGGCGAAGGAGCTGGCTTATATTCGTCAGGAGATCAAGAACCCGCTGGACGGCATCATGTTTGCGCGGTCGTTCATTGAGCACACTGACCTCACGGAGGACCAGAAGCAGCTCGTGGAGACCAGCGCCATGTGCGAGAAGCAGCTGCGGCGGATTCTTGATGATATGGATCTGGCGAGCATCGAGGAAGGGTGAGTGACGGGGTGTGGGTGAAGGAGTGCTTGGGAATAGGTGAATACCAGAAGCAGCTCGTGGAGACCAGCGCCATGTGCGAGAAGCAGCTGCGGAGGATTCTGGATGACATGGACCTCGCTAGCATCGAGGAGGGGTGAGTGACTGGGAGGGCGATGGGGGGCGTGATGGGGACTGGGTGTGTTGAAGCAGCTGGTGGAGACGAGCGCCATGTGCGAGAAGCAGCTGCGGCGGATTCTGGACGACATGGATTTGGCTAGCATCGAGGAAGGGTGAGTGCCTGGAATGTGCGTGCGTGGTGCTTGAGTAGGGGGGAGCAGGAGAGACCCTGTTCATGTCACTGAGCGCCATGTGCTTCCCCTCTCCCCTCTCCCCTCTACCCTCTCCCCTCTCCCCTCTCCCCTCTCCCCTCTCCCATCTTCCCTCTGGAGCTGAACACCAGCTACTCGAGCTGGACACGGCCGAGTTCATGATGGCAGCGGTCATGAACAGCGTGGTCAGCTCAGCCCAGGGCATGATCTCATCTCTTCTCCCTGCCCGCATCCTTTCCTGCTCCCCCTTCTCTCCCACAGCTACCTCGAGCTGGACACGGCAGAGTTCATGATGGCGACGGTCATGAACAGCGTGGTCAGCCAGGGCATGATCTCCTCCTCTCGCAAGGGCCTGCAGCTGTTCTGCGACACCCCGCCCGAGTTCAAGACCATGAACGTCTTTGGCGACCAGGTACGATATAACCGTCAGGCATTTCCCGTTAAGAGAGCTGCCCAGCTACGCGTGTTTCTGTGACACGCCGCCCGAGTTGAAGACCATCAACGTGTTTGGTGATCAGGTACGAGTAAGCTACCATATGATGTCCTACCTGTATTATTACACATCCTGCATGTTATCACTTTAAGGTAAAAAAACACTTTTTGAAGCTACATATCATGGTGCATACAGAGTTTAGGGTTTAGCGGCACGAAAACGGAAACGAAAAGCGAAACGAAAACGAAGGCTGTGCGGCAGATGAACCTCTAATGGCATGACACTTCCAGCTCAAAAGGCATCTACAGATGCTGTCACATATATATTTCTTCTGCTGGGCCCAATTGTGAGGCAGAACCGTTTTTAGCTGGCCCACCTGCCCCTTCCTCCACCGCACCATTTTTAGGAGACTTCCTGCTCAATTCCCCCCTCCGCTTCCCCTGTTCCTTCTCCCTTCCGCCTTTTCCACTCCCCCTCCCCGCTCACCCCACAGGTGCGGCTGCAGCAGGTGTTGGCTGATTTCCTGCTCAACGCCGTGCAGTTCACCCCCGCCAGTGGGTGGGTGGAGGTCAAGGTGGTACCCACGCCCACCAAGCTGCCGGGAGGAGTCACTGTTGTGAAGCTGGAGTTCAAGTAAGTCAACGCGGTCAATGCAGTCACAACCCAGTCAATGAGATACAACACGCGTCCTGTAGCCTCCGCCTGCGTGTCTCAGTTGATGCACCTTCGTCCTTGACTAGCCAATTCAGGTGGATCTCATTCCCTTTTTCAACGCTGCCCCTGTTTGCCTCCTGCGTGCCCCCCTTGTCTCCCGCCTCTCTCTTCCAGGGTGAGCCATGCGGGAGAGGTCTCCCAGAGGACCTGATCCACCAGATGTTTGACCGCGCCGACGCTCACAGCAAGTCACAGGAGGGGCTGGGGCTCAGCGTCTCTTCCACTCTCTTGTCGTCTGCTCACCCCATGCTGTCTTGTTCGTTCCCTATTTCCCCCTCTTCCAGGGTGAGCCACGCGGGAGAGGGTCTCCCAGAGGATCTGATCCACCAGATGTTTGACCGCGCGGACGCACACAGCAAGTCGCAGGAGGGGCTGGGGCTGAGCATCTGCCGCAAGATTGTGAAGCTGATGAACGGCGACGTGCAGTACATTCGCGAGGCCGGCAAGTCGCACTTCATGGTGTCTCTCGAGCTGCCTCTCGCGCAACGGGAGGACGCTGGGAGCGCCAAGTGCTGATTGTGACTGGGGAAATTGCTGGGGGGGGGGGGGGCAGGTGGATGGGTCCCACTTCAAGGTCTTGCTGGTGCTGCCTTTGGCTCAACGGGAGGATGCTGGGAGTGCGAAATGCTGAGGGGGTTTTGTTGCATTGATGATTGCATGGTAAATGATTGGAGAGCCGTGTGTTGTGTGCTGATAGTGGATACAATAAAACTGTAGTCTGGTTGGGTGAGAATGCAGGGATGTGAGAGAGACAAGTGCGAGGCGGGGAGTGAAAGGAGAGTGTCTGCCAGCCTTTAGGGTAAACCTTTTCCCTAAACCCGTTAAGGATTTCATCAGCTGTTGCAACATGTGCTGAGGCAGTGTGGTGTTTTGTGTGCTTGCTGGTGATGCTTTCCCTTCTCTCCCTCATTTATAGGCAGACTCCTTTTGTGTGTATAGTGGTTGTAGTGTTACTGTGACAAATTTTTGCCTTTTGTGGGTCTTCTCTTCTGACAAAGAATTGTTTAGAAACCATTCTCACCACCAATTTCTCATGGTACCGGTATGGTACAAAGTCAATGCAATAAAGTTCTAGCATACCGCCTGTAATGAGCTGCAGACGCATTGTTAGATTGTCTATATAAAGCTACACTAGGCCAGATAGAAACAGCTCTTAAAGGGAACACACTCTGAGCGAAGTGAAGAATGACAGACTTGAGCGAAAGGCGTGCAAGAGCTTTTACCATCAGGTTGATGGCATCAATCCTTCTTGCCCCTTCTGCATTCTTGTAAAGCGCCAAGAATGAGTGAATCGAATCAGAAGTCACTTCCTCCTGGTCCGCAGCCTGTTAAGAAAGGTCTTCAACTTCACCCCTGCATTCCCCTAGCTCTCCTTATGGTTCTTATAGCCCCTTACTCAACCTCCTTCATCCCCACGTTCCCCTCGCCACACTTCTGGAACTCGCACTTTTGTCGCACTTCTGGACAAAAACCAAGGCGACGTGCGAGTCGCCTCATACCGGGGCCACTTTTGTTTCGACTCAAAAATCACTTCCCCGTGGTCCTCAGCATGTCAAGCAGAGTCTTGGCCTTCACCGCTGCATTCCCCTCGCTCTCCTTATGATCTGATACCTGGAATAGCTGTCTTCCTCAACTCCATCACTTCCCCGTGGTCCGCAGCATGTCAAGCAAAGTCTTGGCCTTCACCGCTGCGTTCCCCTCGCTCTCCTTATGAATCTTATAAAGCGGCGGAATCACCCCTTCCTTAACCAACACCGCCTTAACCGCCGCGTCGCTCCCAGCCATCCGCAGCAGCGTAGCAACTGCCTCCTCTTTAGCCCTTTGAGACGACATCTCCAGAACATCGCAGATTCCCTCCACGCCATTCGCTTCCCAGATGGCCCGCCGGCCTTCCGGGAACTTGGAGAGGAGAGAAAGGATGGCCATTGATCGTTCCTCCAGCCCTTGATCCGACGACTGTAAGAGCCCGATGAGAACAGGCACGGCACCAGTGGCGAGGAAATCAGCAATAGTGACGGGTTTTCTCACTAGTTCGGATTTCTCTTCACCCTGCTCTTGGCCCTCCTTATTACACTCCCTGCTTTTCTCCCCACTCTCCCCTCTGCTGCCTCCTGATTCACCTGCTGCCCCTGCAGCATCACTGCTTCTCTCCTCCTCAGGCTCCCCTGCTCCTCCTCCTCCTGCTCCTGCTCCTGCTCCTCCTCCTGCTCCAACTTCTGCTGCTGCTACTGATGCTCCTGTTGCATCACCCCCTGCAGTATCACTCGGGCAGCCATAAAGAGCGCACGCAGAGAGAAACCTAACCAGACTCCACATGGTGAGTATTGCATCTCTCTGCCCTCTCACACTGCTAGTCTGCAGCAACCCCACCAGCGGCTGTAACGCCCCTCTCTCGGTAACCACCTGCTTCCGCTCTTCTGTGTTCGCCAGGCAGAAAATCGCCGCGGCCGCGTTTTCCCGGGCAGCCTCGTTGTTTTCTGCTGACCGGAGAACGTCCACTAGCGTCTCCAACCCCCCCTCGGCGAAAATTTCTTTCTGCCCGGCTTCCATCCGGCAGATGTTGAATATAGCTGTGACCGCATGCTCTACTGTCAGGGGATCAGGAACTTTCATAAGACTGACCAGAAAAGGTATTCCCCCTGACCGAATCAGCCTTTCTTTGTTTTCCGGGCAGCCCTTGAGCGCTCGCCTGACGCAGTAAACCGCGTCGCGGATTTCCTCCTCGCTACCGCTCGCGACCGCGGAAATAAGCGGCCCCAGTTTAAGAGGCTCCGCGGTAGGCCGCGCCGCGGGGATACCAATCGCAGACGAGAACGAGCGCGATCCGGGGAGGCCTGACTCGCTTAATCTCTGGGATCGCGGCGTGGGGATACCTCCCGCGGACGTCGCGAGTGGGCAGAAGGCGTAAATATCGTTATTGTCCACCTGATGATGACTCGTGACAGATCCGACGGCTCTCGTCATCCCGGCGCTCATGGAGATCGAACGGCTGTACTGGCCCCGCTTGCTGGGCGCGGTTCGAGGGCGGGAGGAGAAGGAGGATGAAGCGGAGGAGACGGAGAAGGCGGAGGGGGAAGGGGAAGCGCCGATGGGGCTGGGGATGGGGGAGGAGGATACGGAGGAATGTTGGGACGAGATGGAGGTAAGGCGGAGAAAAGTGGCCGAGTTTTGCGGCGACTCGCCCGTCGTGGAATGGACGCTGGGAGATCGTTCCGACTCGCCGGATAGATCGTACGCTTTAGTAGCGGATCCGGATCGCGGACTCGATAAGTGCAGCTGGAGCACGTCCGGCGGGTGGCGACGGCCGTTGGAAGGAGACGGTCGCGGAGGTATGTTGGTGACGTCATGATGACGTGGGCTGTCTTTAATCTCCGCGTGGCCTAAGTCGCCGCTGCTGGTGGTCGCTTTGGCGGGATCGGACGGTGCGGACGGCATCATCGCTGCGGGCCCTGAATATGCGTGCATCGGACGGTGCGGCATTTTCGAAGTAAGCCGATAAATGAAAAAAAATAACAAATGAAAGAGGGAAATCACGAGGCCGTCTTTTCGGATGCTACTTCCGAAACGTCACCAACAGGCCTCGCGCTGTCAGTCGGTCAGGAAAAAAATAGGGTTTCATTTGCGGGCTGGGGCAGATGGTTAGAAACGACCTTGCAACGACCTAGGCTGTTGTCGGAGAGGTCAATAGCGAGCAGTCACGATTAGTCACAGTCAATGGCTTCCCTCCCCGCAGCGCGATTTTGGGACGTCTAGTCATTAGTAATATGACAGCCGTGGTTTCGAGAGATGCTTCATAACGAGGGTGCTGTGGATGCTGACGATTAGGAGCAGCAGAACCCTGAAGTGACTTTTGGCCACGAGCCAAGGCTTAGAGAAGTTATAAACGGTTCAATGCGTTAAACTTTGCAGTGAACTCGGTTCAATGCGTTAACTGTGGTGTGAACTGAAACCAGTGCTACCATATTTAGAGGACGTGTGATAAGAGTTCCAACTAAAGCGGTGGGTTTGGATGTGGTGAGTGTACAAATGGTTTGATTTGTTTTCAGAACGTTTAAGTAGGGTTCCAATAACCAAACCTCACTCACTGAAAAACTTTCGCCTACAGGGTGTCATTTTGTGTCCGAACGAAGTGGGTGATGGTGCCAGGCTCGGGTTGGCTCGGCGGAGCTCCAGCTCTGGCATGTGGCTGCACTGATCGTCCAGTACCACACTGGAACCGTCCGTATTGTTCTTTACCGTTTTCAAACGTAGCGCACCAATTGAGGAGAAGTGGCCCGGTAACGCTCGCTGATTATGACCCCTGAACCTGGTCAGCGCTACTATCATTCCTCGCTTACAGTTACAGCATATCGCGATTCGGCAAGTAGATTAGGGAGTGTGAAAACTTGTAGTTTTGTTCACCACCATTAGGGGGTGCTTACTTCAGTTCTAACTACCATCACTCACTCGCTGACACGGGACTCGAATAGGCAAGCTTCGACGCGGCTTGGCGCATTGCAATCTCTTTCCATTAGTATTCAGTTTTTAGTTCGACTGTAAACGAGAGGGGAGTGTCGAGGCGTCGCAGGAGCTCGTCACGTGCGACCATTGCGTCGCACGAGCTCCTCGCCTTCAAGTCTCGTCGCAAATGCGAGGATTAACTTTCGGAACGACATAACAGCCCGAGCTCGTAACGAAGATACGCTAGTATTCCCGCTGGGTCGTTGTCGCAAATGTGACTACACGCCATAATGCAGTCTTATAACGAGTACCAACTGCTTCTACTGTCTACCAATGTCGCGGTGAAGGTTCTGATGTGAAACGAGTCTTTCGGACCCGACAAATAATCATTAAGAAAAGATCAGATATAAGCATACTCTTATCTTCGGCGTGTATCTGGAGTCCAAAATGCCGCAATCGTCGCCGCAGCTGTACTCACGGGTGCCGCTGACCGAGCTGAGCGTCGCTGACCTGGACACCACGGAGCTTATATCAGTGGACCTTGAATCGAGTACGAGGTGAGAGTTGTATCGGTGTCGCCATCCCATCAGCTAGCTGTCAGCCCATCCGCGAGCCCTTCCGTCAGCCATTTCGTCAGCCATTTCGTCAGCCTTTCCGTCGTCGTTTCGAGCTTGCAATTTGCTTGTCTTCGACCACCACTTCCTTACCTCAGAAATTTTCAGCCGAAGGGGTACCGAGTGCAGTGCAGTGCAATGCAGGGCGATGCAATGCGGTAAAGCGCAGTGCAGTGCGCGGTCAAGCTTGTTGCTAAGTCGCATCACAAGGATTCCATGCTGTGGCAAGGAGAAAACATTTGTCATTGCCACCCTCACCCATCTCACCCCACCGCACCACACCCTACCCCACCCCACCCCCACACCACCTGCCGCATCCCACCCCACCCCACCCTTTTCCCTCCCACCAGCCAAGGCACACTGAGTGCGCGATCGACTGTGAGTGAAGGATATGGCACGAACGCTTATGGGTCGGAAGGTCGGGCAGCAGCAGAGGGAGGGCGGGAGGAGAGGCTCGGGGATAGGCACGGGGAGAGGCTCGGGAATCACCACCTGGAGCTGTTTGAGAGTGACAGGCTGGTGGATGCCGTTGGGGTGAAGAGGTATGCTGTGCGGTCAAGAGGAATGCTTTGCGGTGAAAAGGTAGGTAGGAAGGCGAATGTGCGGCGGATGATGAAGTGAGATCGGGCGAGCAGGCTGGTTGATTACACTGGCTGAAATGAATGGAGGTCGACAATACCGAAACGCATGCACTTATTGTGTCATCTTGGCTTGAAGCTCGAGTGTGCATCACTCGGTATGAGACACTGAATTTCGGGCGAATCTTGGGTTATTAGGTTGAGTAGAGTCGGTTCAACATTGGGTGAAAATGGGGGTGAAACTTGGATGAAGATAAGGTGACTTACCCAGGTCTCGACATCACACTTCATTTCATGCCATCCTACCTGCTCGCACCATCCCATGTGTTTACACACCACCATGACCCTGAGGCCGAATTGCTGCAAGTGCATCGTGACCGCAACAATGAGCGTGCCGCGAATTTCACTCACAAACCAGCTGCTTCCTCACCATCCCGTGCCTTCGCACCACACCACACTGCACCACACCACACCGCACCACCCCTCAGGATGGGCACGGCCTTTTCCCCCAAGAGTCCATACGACTCCGAGACTGAATCGCTGCAAGTGCATCATGACTACAACAATGTGCGTGCCTTTGATGAACTTTTGAGGCGACTCAAAATTCGTGCCTCTGATTAAGGATTCATTCGACGTTCCACTCAATGTCGCTTTTGAGCTCTGTTCAATGATTTTGTTTGCGGCTCCATTCCGTCAATGTTTCATTCAGAATTTCACGGCTAGTCCCGTCCCAGTCGAGTTTCTCTTGGCATGTATCACTCTATGTTTCAGTTCAACCCGTGCTGTTCAGATCTTCTCCAAAAAGTCCCCTAAGCATCCAACTCTCCCCCACTTGCATAACCGTGTGAGTTCCTCCTACACACCAGCTTCTCCCTGTGTGCAAGCAGTGTGTTCTCTCTCCCTGTCCACCCTCACTTTCCCTTGCTCCATTCCCCTTCTCCCCTTCCAGGCTCCATCACAGAGTAAGCTGGGCACGCTCACAAGGGTGTACATTCCGTGTGTGCAGAACATGCATGCTGTGAGTGGCGCAGGTGCCAAACCCTTTCCTCCTCCCCCTTCTCTCTCCTCACCCCTCACTCCCCTCCAGGCCGTGCCACAGGGCAAGCTGGGCATGCTGGCAGGGGTGTAAATGGCATCCCGTGTGTGCGCCCCTGCCACACAAGGCATCCCTTGTAAATGGCATCCCTTGTGTGCTGTTTCAATGCGCCCTCTTTCCGCTGAGTGGAGACCATGTTTCTTTTCCACATCCAACCCCTCTTCACCCCCTCCAGGCCCCACTACAGGGCAAGCTGGGCACGCTCACAGGAGTGTACATCTCGTGTGTGCTGTTTCAATGCGCCCTCTTATTCCTGAGTGTGGACCATGTTTCTTTTCCGCATCCAACCCCTCTTCAACCCCTCCAGGCCCCATCACAGGGCAAGCTGGGGAGACTTACAGGGGTGTACATCCCGTGTGTGCTGCTTCAATGCACCCTCTTACCCCTGCGTCTGGACCATGTTTCTTTCTTCATCCAACCCCACTGCCCCTCCTCCAAGCCCCGTCACAGGGCAAGCTCGGCACGCTCACAGGGGTGTACACAAGGTTCAAAATTACGGTTTTCGTAAAATACGGTCCGTTTTTTACGGTCGTTTTTTACGGTGATTTTCCAAAAAAACGGCCGTTTTTTTGTTAGAGAACTCTGTTTATTAAGAAAAAAAAAATAGAAAAACAAGGTCAAAAACCTTTTTAATCATGCCAACAAGCACATACATGCAAGAAGGGGTCCGTCCCCTTCATGCTGCTGCATTTCGGGTTCAATTTGGTTCCACTGAGTGGCCGTTTTGTTAGTTAAACAGGAAACACTTCCTGGAACCGTTTTAAACCGTTTTTTACGACCGTTTTTTACGATACCGTTTTTTACGGTAAATTTTCAAAAAAACGGTCGTTTTTTTGAACCCTGGGTGTACATCTCCCTGTGTGTGCAGAGCGTGCATGCTGTGAGTGAGAGAGGCGCTCAACAAACCCATTCCCTCGCCCCTTTCTCTCTCCCCGCCCCTCCCCACAGGCCCCGTCACAGGGCAAGCTGGGCACGCTCACAGGGGTGTGAATTCCGTTTGTGCTGCTTCGATGCACCCTCTCCCCCCTGAGTGGATATCATGTTTCTTTTCCGCATACAACCCCTCTTCACCCCCTCCAGGCCCCATCACAGGGCAAGCTGGGCACGCTCACAGGGGTGTACATCCCATGTGTGCAGAACATCCTGGGAATCATCTTCTACATCCGCCTCTCCTGGTGGGTCCCTTGCTTGGCTGTCACGGTGTCACCTGTCCTGCTGGGTCCCACATGTCGTGGGGTCCCCACCGGTGCTGCTCACAGGGGTGGGTGTACATCCCGTGTGTGCAGAACATCCTCGAAATCATCTTTTACATCCGCCTCTCCTGGTGGGTCCCTTGCTTGGCTGTCACGGTGTGACCTGTCCTGCTGGGTCCCACATGTCGTGGGGTCCCCACCGGTGCTGCTCTACAGGGGTGTACATCCCGTGTGTGCAGCTCGTTCTGGGAATCATTTTCTACATCCGCCTCTCCTGGTGGGTGCTTGCTTGCTTGCCTCTCTTGGTGGTCCCACCTGTTGTGGGGGTCCTACGCCCTGCCCTGCTGGGTCCCAACCACCCACCTGTGCTGCGCACAGGGGTGTACATCCCGTGTGTGCAGAACATCCTGCGAATCATCTTTTACGTTCGCCTCTCCTGGTGGGTGCTGCCTTGCCTCTCTTGCTGGTCCCACCTGTCCCGCTGAAAGGGGTGGTCAGAACATCCTGTTGATGGTTGCTGTCTTTCCAGTTGCCGCCAGCACGCCTAAGCTCTGGACTCTCAAATCATGGTTGCTGATTGCTGATTGCCCTGTGCCCTGTGCCCTGTGCCCTGTGCCCTGTGCCCTATGCACGGCAGGATAGTGGGCATAGCGGGGGTGAGTGGGAGCCTGATGGTGGTCGCAGTCACATGTGCCAGCACGTTCATCACTGCGCTCTCCCTCTCTGCAGTTGTTACAAACGGCGCTATGAAGGTGAGCTTATGTTGCTGCTGCGTTTGCTGGTTGTGGTGCTGCTACTGCTGCCACTGCTGCTACTGCTTGCTTATGGTCGTGGCCGTCAGTCACATGTGCCAGCACGTTCATCACAGCACTCTCCCTCTCTGCTGTCGTCACCACTTCCACCAGCAGTGCCATGAAGGTGAGCTTATGTTGCTGGTGGTGGTGGTGGTGGTGATGATGTTGGTGGTGGTGGTGCTGCTGCTGCAATCTAGGGGGGCGTTGTCACCAAGTTGAAGGGATGCGAAGCTTGTTCGTATTGGTGGGATGCATACCCCTCTTCCCCACCCAGCACGTTCCTCACTGCGCTCTCCATCTCCGCTGTGCCATGAAGGTGAAAAACTAATGTCCCATGCCTATTGCCCCATGCGGCATAGTATATGATTTCATGTCCTGCATATGCCATGCCCATGCCCCATGCCTCATGTCCCATGTCCCATAGCCCATGCCCCATGGCCCATCATACCCAATCCTACCATGTCTTGAACCCCTCAGGGCGGAGGTCCCTACTACCTCATCGGCCGTGCTCTGGGCCCCGAAGTGGGGTTCAGCATCGCCCTCTGCTTCTTCCCTACCTTCCACACCTTTTTTCCCACACCTGTTCCCTCCATGCCCCATATCCTGTTTGAGCCCCTCAGGGCGGAGGTCCCTACTACCTAATCGGCCGTGCCCTGGGGCCCGAGGTGGGGTTCAGCATCGGCCTCTGCTTCCTCCCTACCTTCCACACCCCGTGCCCCATACCCAATCGCTCCATACCCCGTGCCCCCATACCCACTCCTTCTGCACCCCATGCCACATGCCCATTCCCTCCATCCCCCATGCCCCATGCCCCATGCCTTGAACCCCCGAGGTCGGAGGTTCCCATTATCTTATCAGCCGTGCACTGGGTCCCAAAGTGGGGGTCAGCATCAGCCAAGTTTCTTCCATACCATACCTTCCGCACCCCATGCCTCATGCCCTTATTCCCTCCCTCCTCCTTCCCCTAAACCCACCAGGGCGGGGGTCCCTACTACCTCATTGGCCGTGCCCTGGGGCCGGAAGTGGGGGTCAGCATCGGCCTCTGCTTCTTCTTCGGGAATGCCATTGGTGGATCGCTGTGAGTCAAACTGAGTCAAGTCAATGGGGTCAACGGAGTCAATTGGAAGAGCGGAGTCACTGGGCCAGTGGGGCTGTCAATAGTGTCACAAGATCATGGAGTCAACGGCGTCACCATCGGCCTCTGCTTCTTTTTTGGGAATGCCATTGGTGGATCGCTGTGAGTCAAACCGAGTCAAGTCAAGGAAGTCAATGGCAAGGAGTCACCAGGGTCACCATTGGCCTCTTCTTCTTCTTTGGCAATGCCATTGGTGGATCGCTATGAGTCAAACTGATTCAACAGAGTCAATGCTTGTAGATTCTTTCCACTCTGTTAGTGGACATAATTCTGTTCTACATCCTGTGGTATGCCATGCCTCAAATGGCTCTTTTCTCTCGCCCTTTGCCTCCTCCTTTCACTCCATCCCTCTCGCCCTTCCACGCTCCTCCCTATTCCCACTTCTCCCCCGCACAGCTGCATTCTGGGGGCAGTGGAAACTCTTCTTGACGCCATGCCTCAAATCGCTCTCTTCCCACAGTCGTTCCCCCTCCCTCCCTTCACTCCCTCCCTCTTACTCCTCTCTTCAATCCCTCTCTCCCCCCTCCCCTCTCCCCTTCGCAGCTACATTCTGGGGGCGGTGGAAACTCTCCTTGACGCCATGCCTGAAATGGCTCTCTTCCCTCGTGCGTTCCCACTCCCTCGTTTCACTCCCTCGTTTCACTCCCTTTTTAGACTCCCCCTTTGATTTGAATTCCGGCTCTTTGCTGCTGCCTTTATACATCATGTATGTGTTTGTAATCGTTCATTGTTCTCTTCTCTACTAGAAGTATGCATGATGAGGCATGTCATTTGTCATGCCATCGCATGTCATGCATGCGACATGTCATGTGCCATGTCATTTGTCATTGTCATGTCATCGCATGTCTTGAAATCAAAACATCTCCCATCCATCCATTCCATCCTGTCTGCCTGTCTGATCCCCAACTACCACCTCTCCTCTCTACCTTATCCCCTCCTCTCCAGCACAAGCTATGACAGTGACGGTGCAGGCAGCGGTGATCGCGACTGAAACCGCCATCAGCGGTTCTTGCAAGCTGATCAGATACCTCACCTCCCACCTCTCCCTCTCTCCTCCCTTCCTTACTCCCCCTCCCCTTCCCCCCCCACCCCCTCCAGCGGAAGCTATGACAGTGACGGTGCAGGCAGCAGTGAAAGCGACCGAAGCTTCTGTCATTATCTGGTGCAAGCTGATCAGATGCCTTACCTTCCACCTCTCCCCCTTTCCTGCCTTCCTTACACGCCCCCCCTCCTCCCCCTCCCTCCTCCCCCTCTCCAGCGGAAGCCATGACAGTGACGGTGCAGGCAGCAGTGAACGCATCCGAAGCCGCTATCAATGGCACCATGGCTGCTGCACCCACAGCAGCAGAAACGGTGCTGTCTGTATCGAGACACGATATGCAGGTGGGAGAGTCTGAAGACAGGAGGTAGGAGTTGTGTGGTAGAGTCTAAATACCATCATTGGCACCATGGCTGCTGCACCCCATGGTAGCAGAAACAGTGCTGTTCGTATTAAGGCACGATATGCTGGTGAGCACGCGGTTCGTGTGTGGGAGAGCAACAGGTAGAGATAGCACGCATAGGGGGAGCAATGCAGGCCATTCCCAGGCATGAAGCCGCCATCAACGGCACCAGCGCTGCTGCACCCACAGCAGCAGCAACAGAGCAGCAGCAGCATCTGGTGGACCGAGTGGGTTCTCTTGTCCTCCTCCCACTGCAACTCATTCACTTACGCGCCACTCCGCTGCAACAACAACCCTGCCCATCCATCTCCCCACGGCCTGTCTGTCCCCCCAACCAGTTATACGGCATCACCACCACCATCTGCCTCTGCCTCATCGTGTTTGGTGGAGTGCACCTGGTGTGTGGTGATAGCTGCTACCCTCTCCATGCACCCGCTGTTCTCACACCACACCCTGCCCCACCAGGCATACGGCATCATCACCACCATCTGCCTCTGCCTCATTGACTTCGGGGGAGTGCATCTGGTGGAGCGAGTGGGATCGCTCTTCATCATTCCTGCCGTGATGCATGAGTCTCATGTTCAGTGCAACCCTGCTCTCCCCCCCTACCACTTCTACCTCTTCACATCACATATCCCCCCCCACTCCCACCAGGCATACGGCATCATCACCACCATCTGCCTCTGCCTCATAGTCTTCGGGGGAGTGCACCTGGTGGACCGCGTCGGATCATTATTCATCATCCCGGCTGTGCTCGCTGTCATCTCCGTCTTCATCGGGATATTCCTCTCCCCAGACGCTGAGTCACCAGGTGGGCCTAGAGCCGATGACCCCTCTTCCACCACACCCCACCCGGGTGACCCGGGTGACCTGTCTTCATCGACTTTCTCCTCTCTCCGGTCCAGTCAACGAGTCGCCAGGTGTGCAATCTGATGCTGCATGCACCTCACTGGCCAAGTGGGATCGTTATTCATCATGGCGCCTCATGAAACTGTCATCTCTGTGTTTGTCAAAGTCCGGATGGTTACAACGAATCAGATGCCGACTCACCTGGTGCGCCTTGTAAACCGGTTTGAATAACCCTCTGCTTCACCTAGTGTCTCTCGCACTCGTTTTTTTCCTCACTCTCTTCCACTCCCAACCAACCCTCATCTGCCAAACCCCTTCCACTCCAAAATCTCTTGCCTCTCTCTCACTCTCTCACTCCCTCCTCCCTGGCAGCTGGACTGACTGGTCTCAGCACCACCACCCTTTTCGCCAACTGGTTACCAGATTACCAGACCACCAACGCCAATGGTATTCCCGACGCCAGCGGCTCTTTCTACTGGGGCTTTAAGTACGTCTCGTCCCTCCTTCCACTGAGCACGTGCCTCACTGTTCCCTCATCGATCATTTCGTTCACATATCGCATCACAACCTCACTCACCTCACATCACGAATACTCGCATCACATAACGAATACTCGTCGCATCCCTCCTTATCCGCCCATGCTCTTCCACACCCAATCCCACCCATCCGTACCCATCCACACCCTAACCCCCTCCCACAGCCAGCTGCTGGGACTGTTTTACCCGGGAGTGACAGGCATCATGGCGGTAAGTAACCGCTCAGAGGCACTGAGGGACAAGCTTGACTTGACCTGTCTCCTGCTCCCTCCGATCCCCTTTCTCTTGTGTTCCTTACAGCCAGCTGCTGGGGCTCTTCTACCCGGGAGTCACGGGCATCATGGCGGGAAGCAACCGGTCAGAGGCGCTGAGGGACGCACAGCGGTCCATACCCCTACCCTATCCTACGCGCATTCCTTCCCCCATCCCAACCGCAGCCAGCTGCTGGGGCTCTTCTACCCGGGAGTCACGGGCATCATGGCGGGAAGCAACCGGTCAGAGGCGCTGAGGGACGCACAGCGGTCCATACCCCTACCCTATCCTACCCGCATTCCTTCCCCCATCCCAACCGCAGCCAGCTGCTGGGGCTCTTCTACCCGGGAGTCACGGGCATCATGGCTGGAAGCAACCGCTCAGAGGCGCTGAGAGACACACTCGACTGTCCTTCTGTGCTCATCCTCTTCCACACCCAACCCCACCCATCCGTACCCATCCAAACCATTCCCTCCCACAGCCAGCTGCTGGGCCTCTTCTATCCAGGAGTGACAGGCATCATGGCGGGGAGCAACCGCTCAGAGGCTCTGAGGGACACTCAGCGGTCCATTCCCACAGGCACTCTGGCAGCCATTGTGTCAATGACTGGTCTCTATGTGGTCTCCATCCTGCTGTTCGGTGCTGTTGCTACCAGGGACCTGCTTGTCACCGACAGGTAATGAGGGTGTGGGGGGTTGAGAGTGGGGTTGAGAGTGGTGGAGATAGGTGCGTGCGTCAAGTCATACCCGGTCCATCCCCACGAGCAATCAGTCTAGTGCCATTGTGTCAATGACTGGTCTCTATGTGGTCTCCATCCTGCTGTTCGGTGCTGTTGCTACCAGGGACCTGCTTGTCACCGACAGGTGAGTGGGTTGAGAGCGATGGAGATGGGTGATAGTTGCCGCATAGTTGCCCCACGGGCTCTCATACTCGTATAAATGACTGCGCTCTATGTGAGCCCCTCTTCGCCCCTCTTCACCCCTCTTCACCCCTCTGTCCCTCTCTCCCTTCCCCCATCAGGCTCCTCACTGCCACGATTGCATGGCCCGTGCCAGCTGTCGTCCAGGTGTGTGCCAGCTGTCGTGCAGGTGTGTGCCAGCTGTCGTGCAGGTGTGTGCCAGCTGTCGTGCACGTGTGTGCCAGCTGTCGTGCACGTGTGTGCCAGCTGTCGTGCAGGTGGGGTGCCAGCTGTCGTGCAGGTGGGTGCCAGCTGTCGTTCAGGTGTGTGCCAGCTGTCGTGTGCCAGCTGTCGTTCAGGTGGGCGCCAGCTGTCGTTCAGGTGGGTGCCAGCTGTCGTCAGGTGGGTGCCAGCTGTCGTCAGGTGGGTGCCAGCTGTCGTTCAGGTGTGTGCCAGCTGTCGTTCAGGTGTGTGCCAGCTGTCGTCCAGGTGTGTGCCAGCTGTCGTCCAGGTGTGTGCCAGCTGCGTGCAGGTGTGTGCCAGCTGTCGTTCAGGTGTGTGCCAGCTGTCGTCCAGGTGTGTGCCAGCTGTCGTTCAGGTGGGTGCCAGCTGTTGTGCAGGTGTGTGTCAGCTGTCGTGCAGGTGTGTGCCAGCTGTCGTTCAGGTGGGTGCCAGCTGTCGTTCAGGTGGGTGCCAGCTGTCGTTCAGGTGGGTGCCAGCTGTCGTTCAGGTGGGTACCAGCTGTCGTTCAGATGTGTGCCAGCTGTCGTCCAGGTGGGTGCCAGCTGTCGTTCAGGTGGGTGCCAGCTGTCGTGCAGGTGTGTGCCAGCTGTCGTGCAGGTGTGTGCCAGCTGTCATGCAGGTGTGTGCCAGCTGTCGTGCAGGTGTGTGCCAGCTGTCGTGCAGGTGTGTGCCAGCTGTCGTGCAGGTGTGTGCCAGCTGTCATGCAGGTGTGTGCCAGCTGTCGTCCAGGTGGGTGCCAGCTGTCGTTCAGGTGTGTGCCAGCTGTCGTTCAGGTGTGTGCCAGCTGTCGTTCAGGTGTGTGCCAGCTGTCGTTCAGGTGTGTGCCAGCTGTCGTTCAGGTGTGTGCCAGCTGTCGTTCAGGTGGGTGCCAGCTGTCGTTCAGGTGGGTGCCAGCTGTCGTTCAGGTGGGTGCCAGCTGTCGTTCAGGTGGGTGCCAGCTGTCGTGCAGGTGTGTGCCAGCTGTCGTCCAGGTGTGTGCCAGCTGTCGTCCAGGTGTGTGCCAGCTGTCGTGCAGGTGTGTGCCAGCTGTCGTGCAGGTGTGTGCCAGCTGTCGTGCAGGTGTGTGCCAGCTGTCGTGCAGGTGTGTGCCAGCTGTCGTGCAGGTGTGTGCCAGCTGTCGTGCAGGTGTGTGCCAGCTGTCGTGCAGGTGTGTGCCAGCTGTCATGCAGGTGTGTGCCAGCTGTCGTCCAGGTGGGTGCCAGCTGTCGTTCAGGTGTGTGCCAGCTGTCGTTCAGGTGTGTGCCAGCTGTCGTTCAGGTGTGTGCCAGCTGTCGCTCAGGTGGGTGCCAGCTGTCGTTCAGGTGTGTGCCAGCTGTCGTTCAGGTGGGTGCCAGCTGTCGTTCAGGTGTGTGCCAGCTGTCGTGCAGGTGTGTGCCAGCTGTCGAACAATCGTGCAGGTCCTGTCAACACTAGGAGCAGCTCTACAGAACCTCATGGGAGCACCACGGTTGCTAGCTGCCATCGCGAAAGGTCTTCAGAGTCTTCTCAAACCCAACCCCACCCCAACCCACCCCACTCCACCCCCACGCACCATTTGTAGGTGGGCAGAACCTCATGGGGGCGCCGCGACTGCTGGCTACCTTACGAAAGGCTTTTGAGTCCACCCCACCCCACCTCACCGCACCCCACCCCACACACCACTTTCAGGTGGGCATCGTCCTGTCAACGCTGGGAGCAGCACTGCAGAACCTCATGGGAGCACCGCGACTGCTGGCTACCTCACGGAAGGCTTTTGAGTCCACCTCACCCCACCTCACCGCACCCCACCCCACACACCACTTTCAGGTGGGCATCGTCCTGTCAACGCTGGGAGCAGCCCTGCAGAACCTCATGGGAGCGCCTCGGCTGCTGGCTGCGATAGCAAATGACAACGTGCTGCCGGTGCTGAATGCATTCAAAGCGGAGAGCCATCAGGAGCCGCATCTAGCCACACTCTTCACTCTCCTGCTGTGCTGCAGGTACTCCTCCTGCTGTGCTGCAGGTACTCCTCCTGCTGTGCTGCAGGTACTCCTCCTGCTAGTGCTGCTATGTTACTGTATCCGCTGGTATACCTGCTGGTGTTGTTTCTGGCGGTGATTGCGAATGTCAACGTGCTGCCTGCCGGTGCTGAATGCATTCAAGGCGGAGAGCCATCAGGAGCCGCACCTGGCGACGCTCTTCACTCTCCTGCTGTGCTGCAGGTGCGTGGTGGAAGTGCTGTTATTGCTGCTGGTGTTGCTAGTAGTGCAATCGTGCTGGGTCGCTGAAGGTGCTGGTTGCTCTGTTCTTGCTGGTAGTGCTGCTGGACCTGAATGTCACCTGTAATGCTGGTCGTGTTGGTGCTGCCGGTGCTGAATGCATTCAAGGCAGAGAGCCATCAGGAGCCGCATCTGGCCACGCTCTTCACGCTTCTCCTCTGCTGCAGGTAATGTTCTGTTGGTAGTGCCACTAGTGCTGCCGGTGCTGAATGCATTCAAGACAGAGAGCCACCAGGAGCCGCATCTGGCCACGCTCTTCACGCTTCTCCTTTGTTGCAGGTAATCCTGGTAGTTGCTCTCTTATATCTGCTGGTATTGTTGCTGGCTGTGAATTGCGAATGACAATGTGCTGCCGGTGCTGAATTCTTTCAAAGCGGAGAGCCATCAGGAGCCGCACCTAGCCTCTCTTCATTCTCCTCCTTTGCTGCAGGTGCTGATGCTGCTGCATGTGAGAAAACGTGAGGAAGAACCATTGATTTCATTAGGAGAGATGGGGGTATACATAGTAGTGCTTAAGGGGGGGGGTTGGTTGGAACCAAGCCAACATTATTGGCCCCCACCAATAAGTTGGGTTGAGGGATTATTGGGGGGACTAATAACGTTGACCAAGTGGTTCAACATTATTGGGGGGACCAATAATTCCCAACCCAACCTTGGGGGCCAAGTGTTGAGTTCCAACCCCCAATTAGGGTTAGCCCTAGTTCTACACCCAAACTAAGTTTGGGTGGCTATCTCTAACCTAAGCTTATAGGATTGATGTAGGTTACAATGAGGATGGTAATCTGACACTACACCCCCCCCCCCCCCCCCCCCCCCCTCCACCCACAGCTTCGTGCTGATAGGAGACGTGGACTATGTATCACCATGTTCTTCCTCTGCTACTGCTTGCACACACACCCCTTTCACCCACTCTTTTATCACCCTGTTGCCTGCCCTTCAGCTTTGTGCTGATAGGAGACGTGGACTATGTATCACCAGTCATCACCATGTTCTTCCTCCTCTGCTATTGCGGGGTCAACCTCTCCTGTGCTCTCCTCGACCTCGTGGACGCCCCCTCCTGGCGCCCCCGCTGGCGCTGGCACCACTGGCTAGTATCCCTCGCTGGCGCGCTGCTGTGTCTGGGTATGTACCTGCCCTCTAATTGGTTCTCTCCCCTGCCTCAGCTAGTGCCCTCCTTATTGCTCTCACTGTCTTCTCTCCTCGACCTCGTTGACGCCTCCTCCTGGAGCCCTCGCTGGCGCTGGCACCTCTGGCTCGTCTCCCTCGCTGGCGCCCTCCTGTGTCTGGGTACGTGCCCTCGCTCCCACACACACTGCCGCTTCCACCCCTCGCTCTTCGTTCTCCTGTATTCTCCTGCACTTCCCTGGACTCTCCTCTCCTCTCCTCTGCTCTCCTCGACCTCGTTGACGCCCCCTCCTGGCGTCCCCGCTGGCGCTGGCACCACTGGCTCGTGTCTCTAGCTGGTGCTCTACTCTGTCTTGGTTTGGTACGTGCCCTCGCTCGCTCCCATTTCCACTGCCTCTTTTAACGCACTTTCTGCTCTCCTCGTCCTCGTTGATGCCTCCTCCTGGTTCCCCTCCTGGCGCCCCTCCTGCTGCCACTCCTGAGACGCCTCAAATGTGAGGCTTCTGCATGGTTCACTTTAAGTCAAGTGATAACCTTTTCCCCCATCTACCTCCCTCCCCATCCCCCCAATCATCATGTATCTCATCGCCTGATTCTTCACCCTCGTCGATCCCTCATGTTCCGTCCTTCCCCCCTCCCTTCCGTCCCTCCTTCCCCTTGTGCTCCCTCCGCCATTCCCCCTTCCCCTCTTCACTTCCCTCCTCTCCCTCCCTCCAGTCATCATGTACCTAATCTCCTGGTTGTTCACACTCGTCTGGCTCATTTCTGCGTCTAGGCGTCACAACCCTCTCTTCCTTTGTTCGTCCTCCCGCCATCCCCTCGCCTCCTCTCAGGCTCTCCCCCCTCATTCCAGTCATCATGTACCTAATCTCCTGGTTCTTCACGCTCGTCTCTCTCACCCTAGCCATCCCAACCTCCACGTACATCAGCTGGTGGGCAAGACGGGAGTGCCTGCTTTCTGGGTCGACCCATAACTGCACTCCCATCTCCCCTCTTCCCATCCCCCCTCTTCCCATCCCCCCTCTTCCCATCCCCCCTCTTCCCATCCCCCCTCTTCCCATCCCCCCTCTTCCCATCCCCCCTCTTCCCATCTCCCCCTCCTCTCTACCCCCTCCCACTCCAGTCATCATGTATCTCATCTCCTGGTTCTTCACGCTCGTCTGTCTCACCCTAGCCGTGCTCATCTACATCTATGTCAGCATGGTGGGCAAGGCGGGTGACTGGGGCGATGGGGTCAAGTCCGCCTACATGCAACTCGCCCTGCGCTCGCTGCACTTCCTGGGAGGTGGGTGGGTGAGCGAGAGAGGGTTCCCTTCCCTCCCTCTGTGCTCTAAGCAATCCCTGGGACTGGGGCGATGGGGTCAAGTCCGCCTACATGCAACTCGCCCTGCGCTCGCTGCACTTCCTGGGAGGTGGGTGGGTGAGCGAGAGAGGGTTCCCTTCCCTCCCTCTGTGCTCTAAGCAATCCCTGGGACTGGGGCGATGGGGTCAAGTCCGCCTACATGCAACTCGCCCTGCGCTCGCTGCACTTCCTGGGAGGTGGGTGGGTGAGCGAGAGAGGGTTCCCTTCCCTCCCTCTGTGCTCTAAGCAATCCCTGGGACTGGGGCGATGGGGTCAAGTCCGCCTACATGCAACTCGCCCTGCGCTCGCTGCACTTCCTGGGAGGTGGGTGGGTGAGCGAGAGAGGGTTCCCTTCCCTCCCTCTGTGCTCTAAGCAATCCCTGGGACTGGGGCGATGGGGTCAAGTCCGCCTACATGCAACTCGCCCTGCGCTCGCTGCACTTCCTGGGAGGTGGGTGGGTGAGCGAGAGAGGGTTCCCTTCCCTCCCTCTGTGCTCTAAGCAATCCCTGGGACTGGGGCGATGGGGTCAAGTCCGCCTACATGCAACTCGCCCTGCGCTCGCTGCACTTCCTGGGAGGTGGGTGGGTGAGCGAGAGAGGGTTCCCTTCCCTCCCTCTGTGCTCTAAGCAATCCCTGGGACTGGGGCGATGGGGTCAAGTCCGCCTACATGCAACTCGCCCTGCGCTCGCTGCACTTCCTGGGAGGTGGGTGGGTGAGCGAGAGAGGGTTCCCTTCCCTCCCTCTGTGCTCTAAGCAATCCCTGGGACTGGGGCGATGGGGTCAAGTCCGCCTACATGCAACTCGCCCTGCGCTCGCTGCACTTCCTGGGAGGTGGGTGGGTGAGCGAGAGAGGGTTCCCTTCCCTCCCTCTGTGCTCTAAGCAATCCCTGGGACTGGGGCGATGGGGTCAAGTCCGCCTACATGCAACTCGCCCTGCGCTCGCTGCACTTCCTGGGAGGTGGGTGGGTGAGCGAGAGAGGGTTCCCTTCCCTCCCTCTGTGCTCTAAGCAATCCCTGGGACTGGGGCGATGGGGTCAAGTCCGCCTACATGCAACTCGCCCTGCGCTCGCTGCACTTCCTGGGAGGTGGGTGGGTGAGCGAGAGAGGGTTCCCTTCCCTCCCTCTGTGCTCTAAGCAATCCCTGGGACTGGGGCGATGGGGTCAAGTCCGCCTACATGCAACTCGCCCTGCGCTCGCTGCACTTCCTGGGAGGTGGGTGGGTGAGCGAGAGAGGGTTCCCTTCCCTCCCTCTGTGCTCTAAGCAATCCCTGGGACTGGGGCGATGGGGTCAAGTCCGCCTACATGCAACTCGCCCTGCGCTCGCTGCACTTCCTGGGCTGTGGGTGGGTGAGCGAGAGAGGGTTCCCTTCCCTCCCTCTGTGCTCTAAGCAATCCCTGGGACTGGGGCGATGGGGTCAAGTCCGCCTACATGCAACTCGCCCTGCGCTCGCTGCACTTCCTGGGAGGTGGGTGGGTGAGCGAGAGAGGGTTCCCTTCCCTCCCTCTGTGCTCTAAGCAATCCCTGGGACTGGGGCGATGGGGTCAAGTCCGCCTACATGCAACTCGCCCTGCGCTCGCTGCACTTCCTGGGAGGTGGGTGGGTGAGCGAGAGAGGGTTCCCTTCCCTCCCTCTGTGCTCTAAGCAATCCCTGGGACTGGGGCGATGGGGTCAAGTCCGCCTACATGCAACTCGCCCTGCGCTCGCTGCACTTCCTGGGAGGTGGGTGGGTGAGCGAGAGAGGGTTCCCTTCCCTCCCTCTGTGCTCTAAGCAATCCCTGGGACTGGGGCGATGGGGTCAAGTCCGCCTACATGCAACTCGCCCTGCGCTCGCTGCACTTCCTGGGAGGTGGGTGGGTGAGCGAGAGAGGGTTCCCTTCCCTCCCTCTGTGCTCTAAGCAATCCCTGGGACTGGGGCGATGGGGTCAAGTCCGCCTACATGCAACTCGCCCTGCGCTCGCTGCACTTCCTGGGAGGTGGGTGGGTGAGCGAGAGAGGGTTCCCTTCCCTCCCTCTGTGCTCTAAGCAATCCCTGGGACTGGGGCGATGGGGTCAAGTCCGCCTACATGCAACTCGCCCTGCGCTCGCTGCACTTCCTGGGAGGTGGGTGGGTGAGCGAGAGAGGGTTCCCTTCCCTCCCTCTGTGCTCTAAGCAATCCCTGGGACTGGGGCGATGGGGTCAAGTCCGCCTACATGCAACTCGCCCTGCGCTCGCTGCACTTCCTGGGAGGTGGGTGGGTGAGCGAGAGAGGGTTCCCTTCCCTCCCTCTGTGCTCTAAGCAATCCCTGGGACTGGGGCGATGGGGTCAAGTCCGCCTACATGCAACTCGCCCTGCGCTCGCTGCACTTCCTGGGAGGTGGGTGGGTGAGCGAGAGAGGGTTCCCTTCCCTCCCTCTGTGCTCTAAGCAATCCCTGGGACTGGGGCGATGGGGTCAAGTCCGCCTACATGCAACTCGCCCTGCGCTCGCTGCACTTCCTGGGAGGTGGGTGGGTGAGCGAGAGAGGGTTCCCTTCCCTCCCTCTGTGCTCTAAGCAATCCCTGGGACTGGGGCGATGGGGTCAAGTCCGCCTACATGCAACTCGCCCTGCGCTCGCTGCACTTCCTGGGAGGTGGGTGGGTGAGCGAGAGAGGGTTCCCTTCCCTCCCTCTGTGCTCTAAGCAATCCCTGGGACTGGGGCGATGGGGTCAAGTCCGCCTACATGCAACTCGCCCTGCGCTCGCTGCACTTCCTGGGAGGTGGGTGGGTGAGCGAGAGAGGGTTCCCTTCCCTCCCTCTGTGCTCTAAGCAATCCCTGGGACTGGGGCGATGGGGTCAAGTCCGCCTACATGCAACTCGCCCTGCGCTCGCTGCACTTCCTGGGAGGTGGGTGGGTGAGCGAGAGAGGGTTCCCTTCCCTCCCTCTGTGCTCTAAGCAATCCCTGGGACTGGGGCGATGGGGTCAAGTCCGCCTACATGCAACTCGCCCTGCGCTCGCTGCACTTCCTGGGAGGTGGGTGGGTGAGCGAGAGAGGGTTCCCTTCCCTCCCTCTGTGCTCTAAGCAATCCCTGGGACTGGGGCGATGGGGTCAAGTCCGCCTACATGCAACTCGCCCTGCGCTCGCTGCACTTCCTGGGAGGTGGGTGGGTGAGCGAGAGAGGGTTCCCTTCCCTCCCTCTGTGCTCTAAGCAATCCCTGGGACTGGGGCGATGGGGTCAAGTCCGCCTACATGCAACTCGCCCTGCGCTCGCTGCACTTCCTGGGAGGTGGGTGGGTGAGCGAGAGAGGGTTCCCTTCCCTCCCTCTGTGCTCTAAGCAATCCCTGGGACTGGGGCGATGGGGTCAAGTCCGCCTACATGCAACTCGCCCTGCGCTCGCTGCACTTCCTGGGAGGTGGGTGGGTGAGCGAGAGAGGGTTCCCTTCCCTCCCTCTGTGCTCTAAGCAATCCCTGGGACTGGGGCGATGGGGTCAAGTCCGCCTACATGCAACTCGCCCTGCGCTCGCTGCACTTCCTGGGAGGTGGGTGGGTGAGCGAGAGAGGGTTCCCTTCCCTCCCTCTGTGCTCTAAGCAATCCCTGGGACTGGGGCGATGGGGTCAAGTCCGCCTACATGCAACTCGCCCTGCGCTCGCTGCACTTCCTGGGAGGTGGGTGGGTGAGCGAGAGAGGGTTCCCTTCCCTCCCTCTGTGCTCTAAGCAATCCCTGGGACTGGGGCGATGGGGTCAAGTCCGCCTACATGCAACTCGCCCTGCGCTCGCTGCACTTCCTGGGAGGTGGGTGGGTGAGCGAGAGAGGGTTCCCTTCCCTCCCTCTGTGCTCTAAGCAATCCCTGGGACTGGGGCGATGGGGTCAAGTCCGCCTACATGCAACTCGCCCTGCGCTCGCTGCACTTCCTGGGAGGTGGGTGGGTGAGCGAGAGAGGGTTCCCTTCCCTCCCTCTGTGCTCTAAGCAATCCCTGGGACTGGGGCGATGGGGTCAAGTCCGCCTACATGCAACTCGCCCTGCGCTCGCTGCACTTCCTGGGAGGTGGGTGGGTGAGCGAGAGAGGGTTCCCTTCCCTCCCTCTGTGCTCTAAGCAATCCCTGGGACTGGGGCGATGGGGTCAAGTCCGCCTACATGCAACTCGCCCTGCGCTCGCTGCACTTCCTGGGAGGTGGGTGGGTGAGCGAGAGAGGGTTCCCTTCCCTCCCTCTGTGCTCTAAGCAATCCCTGGGACTGGGGCGATGGGGTCAAGTCCGCCTACATGCAACTCGCCCTGCGCTCGCTGCACTTCCTGGGAGGTGGGTGGGTGAGCGAGAGAGGGTTCCCTTCCCTCCCTCTGTGCTCTAAGCAATCCCTGGGACTGGGGCGATGGGGTCAAGTCCGCCTACATGCAACTCGCCCTGCGCTCGCTGCACTTCCTGGGAGGTGGGTGGGTGAGCGAGAGAGGGTTCCCTTCCCTCCCTCTGTGCTCTAAGCAATCCCTGGGACTGGGGCGATGGGGTCAAGTCCGCCTACATGCAACTCGCCCTGCGCTCGCTGCACTTCCTGGGAGGTGGGTGGGTGAGCGAGAGAGGGTTCCCTTCCCTCCCTCTGTGCTCTAAGCAATCCCTGGGACTGGGGCGATGGGGTCAAGTCCGCCTACATGCAACTCGCCCTGCGCTCGCTGCACTTCCTGGGAGGTGGGTGGGTGAGCGAGAGAGGGTTCCCTTCCCTCCCTCTGTGCTCTAAGCAATCCCTGGGACTGGGGCGATGGGGTCAAGTCCGCCTACATGCAACTCGCCCTGCGCTCGCTGCACTTCCTGGGAGGTGGGTGGGTGAGCGAGAGAGGGTTCCCTTCCCTCCCTCTGTGCTCTAAGCAATCCCTGGGACTGGGGCGATGGGGTCAAGTCCGCCTACATGCAACTCGCCCTGCGCTCGCTGCACTTCCTGGGAGGTGGGTGGGTGAGCGAGAGAGGGTTCCCTTCCCTCCCTCTGTGCTCTAAGCAATCCCTGGGACTGGGGCGATGGGGTCAAGTCCGCCTACATGCAACTCGCCCTGCGCTCGCTGCACTTCCTGGGAGGTGGGTGGGTGAGCGAGAGAGGGTTCCCTTCCCTCCCTCTGTGCTCTAAGCAATCCCTGGGACTGGGGCGATGGGGTCAAGTCCGCCTACATGCAA